AAACTTGACATCAAAATGTAGTTTATAATTTAGCTTTTAATATTATACAAATTCTAATTTTCTAATATCAAAATAAAACATCTAAATACATGCTCAATCTTTACTTTTCTGTATTACATGATAGTTCTTCTCTCCAAACTGCTAATTTTAGGTAATTATTTCTACCCCTAAATTATTTTCTGAGTTTGGCACAAATTACATACTTATAGTTTAGATAATGCTATGTCATAATGTGATCTTATGATCCTCCAGGTTTCTTGCTTTACTGAGATAAAAACAAGAAAGTCAAATCGTGCACTCAGACTAGTTGAGTCTGTGTCAAACTGACTACTTAAATTCACATACAAATCAATTAATAAAAATACTTAATAAAAAATTAAGATTTTTTGTGTACAACATACTTGTAATGTTTGAAAAAAGCTTACCAAACTTTGTGAAGATACCCTTAGTAAATACTGCTTTATATAACTTCACAGAAATGTATAAGACTGTACAAATAGGTTTAAAGGGCTCATTAATCACACAACCATAGCTTCTATATTAATTATCAGTTATTTTATAATAGTGATTTGATTGAATCTTTACACTGATAATAATATGTAATTATCGTCAATATGCAACTTACAGTCGTCCCTCCATGATGGAAAAAACTAACAATAGCTTTCTCTAGAATACTGGCCATCACTTGTCTTACTTCTCTTAAAGGACATTCTAAAAGATGAGGTCTGAAACATCACAAGAAGCATTATATTCTTCTCTGATAAATTGTCCCATAAATTAATATAATCTGAAGACATACACTACTTAATAAAAAGATGCTAAAGATAAACAGATATAAATATACACTTGAATTTCTGTACAATCAATGAGAACATTAATAAAAAGTAGTCACTCCTTTACAAAGTCATCCAAAAACTTATGATATTTTATTTTTGGTGTTATTCTAATTGTTTCACTTGCTGTTTATTTACTAGCTTATATTAGTTTTGTTTTGTTCATCAAACTTTAATTTTAATCCAACAAAATTATAAAGTTCCTAACCACAACAAAAAAATATTAATATGTATACATATCATAAAAGCCTTACAGAAAAAAAGTTTTAGCATTTTGGGTAATAATGTTGTATTCACAAAATACTTCTGAAAAAAAAAAAATCACACTTTGAAAAAGTTTAACTTTTAGGGTTTTTTTAACCTCTCACAATCTAAGACAGTATTAGTTTTGATCACTTTCTTAAATTTTTATCCCATAATTTTATGAATTATCAGAAATATTGCTTTAAATAAACACATTATGACATTCTTTAACTCATGCTAGTCATCAATGATATTTTCCTGATGATAAACAAATAAATTTTTCTGACTGATTTGTTTGTTGCTAAGCTACACATTGGGTTATCTGTACTATGTCTACTGCAGGTATTGAAACCCAATTTTTAACATTATAAATCCTGAGACTCACTGCTGAGCTATAAATAATTTCTTTCGCAAACTTTTAATCAAAAAAATTTTTATTTGTAAAATTAAGAAGTATGAGAAAAGTGTTGAAGTAACAGACACCGTGGAAAATGTCTGATACAACAGTACTTTCTAACAATCAAATGTTGTAGACATCATTACAGGAAGTGTTTGAATAAGACCTGAAAATAGTTGTTTTTTGGAGGAGAATCAGGTGAAATCAACCAAAGATGATGTATATAATACATTATGTCAGGCCAATTCTGATAGGTTTATAGTAGCTGTTTACAACTGTACACTGGGTGATTACTAGCCAGGCTGAAGTTAGCCTCATGTTACAATCAAAACTTTTCTCCTTAAAGCTACAGTTTGAGCAATATTTATTCTTATTCATTTTGGTTTTCAAATCACAAAAAAAAGTGCACTAGAAAAGCAAAATTTTCAAGCTTTATTATAATATAAATAATGCTGCTGGGACTTGTTAGATAAATATGAAGATTCATATAATCACGATCAAATATAAATCCTATATGGTGGTGATAACATACATTATTAATATGTTACTCTCAACAGATTGATGTTTACAGGTACTTAACAATTGGCCTTCCGATACTCATACTTTAAAACTGACATTTCATGTTATCTGTGATTAAGGATTAATTTGGCTACATATGTGAAATGCCAAATCAATCACATGTTACACATGGACTAAACAGCCAGGTCAAAGACCTCAAGATTGAGACACAGTTATATCTAAGAAAGAACTGGTGATAATTAGCAGCAGACAGCACTAAATGACTACTCTTAAATGAATAGCAGGATTAACTGCCATATCTATAATGTGTGCCCACATTATAAAGTGCAGAGTTTGTTCATAGGCATGTTGAAAACTCAAACATCGGACCTTTCGATTCATAACACATTCAGTCCTTAAGGATTAATACATGCTTTGAAAACAATTCTAATGCAAAACTGAGTCAGTTTTACATTGTTCATTAACTACACTGGTTTATTTTCTGTAAGATTTAGTAATATCTAAAATATAAACCATTGTTAAGACTTTACTGACAATCCTTCTTTACTGATGATTCCCCATTACTTAGAAATAACAGTGCTCAATAAAAACATCACTGTTTGATTTTAAATCACTTTAAGAATGAATACACAGAAAATAATGGAAATGAAGAACCAAAACTAAAATGATAAAAACTAAACCTCCTAAACCATTACTATATACATTAGTATTATATTCTTACATCAAAAAATCAAAAACTATCCAGAATAGAATTCTGTACATTACCTGCTTGTAAAACATTACATAAAAATTCCTTACCTGAGGTAGCTAATGCCTTGATCACTAGAAAGAAAATCAAGCATCCAAAATGCAGCTTCCTTACAGATGCTAACTATGGTTTCAACACGATTTACCCATTCATTCATGACAGCACTATAAGCAAATATCATAATGATATTTTATATTTAACAAAATAAAATAATCAACAGTAATCTTTTTCTTGTGTTAAAAAACTTTAACAATACACCTCTACCGTTTAACATCTTTCTTTATCCTACGCTTATAAGAAATAAAATTCACTGTATTTTCTGTCTGTCTGTAATTGTAGAGGGCAATTTTAGAACGTTCAAACATAAAGATGTCGATTACAAATCCTTATTTCATATTCTCTTGAAAAAATATATTTAAAAATAACCATATACAACTTTTAGCTATAATTTACCTTGTATCATCATGCCTAATTTTTTGACAAAACGTTTTATTTTGATATACTCATATAAAATGTAACAATTTCTTTATAATTTAGACATTTGTATTGTTCTTTGGTTAGAGGGAGGTTTGACATCGTGATAAGCACATGACTAAACATCTGAATTTTTCTCCAAAGTTTCAGGAAAGTTTGAGCACAACAAAAAATATGAGTTAGGCTGGGGTAGATGATGATTGGTTATTGAGTTAGCAAATTTGATAGTCAGTTTGTAAAAATATGAGTTAGGCTGGGGTAGATGATGGTTGGTTATTGAGTTAGCAAATTTGATAATCAGTTTGTAAAAATATGAGTTAGACTGGGGTAGATGATGATTGGTTATTGAGTTAGCAAATTTGATAGTCAGTTTGTAAAAATATGAGTTAGGCTAGGGTAGATGATGATTGGTTATTGAGTTAGCAAATTTGATAATCAGTTTGTAAAAATATGAGTTAGACTCCAAACCATTCTATTCTTTTGGTGCAGAGTTTAAAACTGGCAATCAATTTCATTTTTAACACATACCTCAGATACAAGAGAAAAACAAGGTATGTGAAATATAATATATATAGTGTGTAACATTTTATATTGTTGATTGGGTTCTTTTGGATTATTTGGTAAAAAGAATAATACAAAGTCCAGTCCACTTAATGATAAAAGTATTTTATTTCTTTAAATATAAATTCCACCATGTTCACTGAGCATTAGGCCTAATTCCAAAAAAATGCTAAACTATCACTCACTTGCTAATTTTTTCTCATAACCTCTGACACTTTCTCATATCCCTGGTGCTTTGTTGAAACACAAATTCATTATTCTGAAAACTGAACTAACTGATTAACTACTTTACAGTAACAGACAAACTGACTATCAAATTTGCTAACTCAATAACCAATCATCATCTACCCCAGAAAAAACAGTGCCCTATAAATGCAATAACAAATGAAATAAACAAAGAAAAAATTAATAAAATTTAAAATGGATTTGTCGAGATCAAAAATGAGACATTTTTAAGTCTTCCTTACAAAAAAAACAGCGTTTTTTTTACAAAATGGATAAACATGTTTAAAATTAATTCAAAAGTTAAATTTTCAGTCATGTTTGTAAAAACAAAAACTTGTAAAGACAAGTGTAAAACATTAAATGCATTCTATGTGTAAAATACTGTATTTATTTATCCACTAAATGCTCCAAGTTTCATGAAAACAGAATCTCAAGAGCCACAATAAATCTCATAAGTAAAATTCTATTTCAGAATTGAAATATAAAAGCAAAATTACACAAAATATTATGGAAAAATTGGAATCAAACCTAATTTTATCTGAGGTTAAAGGCAGCAAATTTCTATTTTGTATGGTTTCATAGGAAAAAAAATATTTTGAGCAAATACCTGAGACAAAATATCAGTAATAGTGCATGAAGCAAACAAATAGTTCTTACATGTATTGTAAGTTTTTTTCTTTAATTTTGTTTCAATAAAAGTATTGATTAAAATTATAAATAAATAAATATATATATATATAACTTTCTATTATCTTAGATATACTTATTTCAAGGATTATTTTACACCGTTGCTTTAGTTTATGGATTTAAATGAATATACATTTTCTAAACTGATTAAACCTCATGAGCTATTACTGAGATTATGGCCAATACTATAATTGGCAGCAAGGTTATACAGATGATAAATCAATGCATATCAGTCTTTAAAACTATTTGTTTTATGACACTGCACACTTCTAGTTAACATCATATCAAACTAGCACCAATATTTACTAGGTTAATATTTATTACTGATTTATCTGCTTTGACCAGAAGTGAAAGGTAATTAGTGGTTTTTTTATAAATTAAAGCTCAGTTAAGTTACACTGAGTTTTATTCATGCAAACAGTTATAGAACAACACAGAAGCCTTTAATTAACTCCTTTATTTGTTACCCTTGTACAAAATTCTATCTTAAAGATCATTGATCCCTTCATCCATAGCACTGATGTTCACAATCTTAGAAAAAACAGAAACACCACATGCTTTTTGGTGGTTTAACCCAAAATCCAATACTGACAAATACAGTATCCAATACATGAATCAGTCCATTAACTTTTCTTGCATTTTACTATTACCCAATTGGATTAGTGCATATAAATGGAGTTCAAAGCTGCACAAAATGAACAGATTTAAATAAATATCACTAACATCTCATGACTTTTACTATACTGACTTTATGATAAGTTTAATTTATCTAGAAACTTCCTTTCTGTAATGATTGAAAATTTTTATTTATCATACTGATCCAGTGAAGATTGTTTATAAGATTTGATTTAGTTGCTTAATTTTTAACTAGAATTTCCCATTACAGGATCCTTTATTTTGGAAATTATCTAACTGCACACCTAAATACAATAATATATTTTATTCAATTTTTTCTGTTTAATAGTTAAATGTTTAAAAATTTTTAGTGTATAATTTTCTTTTTCAATAATTTATAACAGAAATTACTTTTCTCAAAAAGTTTATGAACTGTTTAGTTGCATGGCAGAAAAAATTGGCTCATTATTCATTCAAATCATTTGCCACTCATGTGTCATTTATTTCAGAGATGATCTTAGAACAAAATAGAAATCTTTTTTATAAAATATGTTTCTAAAACTGCTCATATAATCAAACAGCACTAAGCAAGATATCAAAACAATGACTAAGTAGCAAAACAAATATGAAATATTGAAGAAGCACAACCGATATTGTTAATTAACACTTACGTTCAAGTAGGACAACATTCTGTTTCTAAAATAGTTCTAGATATTTTACAACTTATATCACGAGCTACTAGTGAAAAAAGTAAAAAAAAAAAGTTTTTTACATTGATGAAATTAGAATTTAAAAAAAAACACTGATATTAGGAAAACAAAAGTCACTAATTTAGGCCTATACTTTTTGATATTCAAAAATTAACCTTTGAAGACTAACACTTAAAAAAATTCTTCTCAAACTCAAGAAGTATTTGTTAAAGTGAGAAAATCGGCCTTTCGATAGTATCAAAGGTCATATTTCTTATGAATTAGTCGTTACATATTTTTAAAGTACTAAATATTATGATTTTGTCCATTCATAAATCAAATATCGAAATGCTACTAATACAATTTCTTTACAATAATTTTATATAAATCATACAAATACTTACCAGATTAATATCAACGAGATGCTGAATGAAGGAAAAGTATTGGTCATTGTATACTTCACAGTTGTGCATAAACCGTAGGTTTTCCTCTCTCACACTTTGCTGAATGGATGCTGGCATCTTGTCAACGAACAGCCCTTGTCGTTCACCCTTGTCCACCAGATGAGTTAGTTGACTGAGACTGTCTCTTTGGCGTGCTGTACTACTTGACGGAACTGTGGATTTTCTTGGTGTTCTATAACAATAAAAACACAAAATATTATTGCCATAAACCGATGAAATAAAACATTACTGTAACTGCTGAATTTTTTATTTCATCGGTTTATTACTTTTAAGTAATATGTTTGAAAGCTGGATTTTTACATTTATTGACATATTTGAAAACAATTAAAGCAAGAATTAAAAGCTGATAAACCTCCAACAGGTGCAGAAATGTGAGAGGCACTTCAAATTTTGCAAATTTCATAAAGAGTATGAATATGAAAGTTTTATTAATGAATTGCACCAAAAAAATAGTAGACAGTCAACTTTAAATGTATTTTTTCATGGGCTTCACTTTCATTTGCCAATTCTCAGTCTGTCCGAGTAACAGTCTGACTCCGTCACCTTAGCATGAACCTGAATATTTGGCATCAGTTTCCATTCAAGATTCAAAACCATTTGTAGTCATGTCAGGTGGTCTGTCTACAATTTCTTCGGTGTCTTTGTCTTCTTTCGAGAATCCCCCATGATTAAAAGAATTCTGAATTGTCTTTTCAGACACTTGCTTCCATGATATGCAGGGCCTCAAGGAGATCAGTGTTTTTGGCTAAATCATTTGTACTCAGTTGTTGCGTGTCGTCCATATTTTATAAGATTCTAGTGCGCATTTCTTGATGGCAATAAGCCTTTAATTCTTGGATAATTCCCTGATTGTATGGTTAGATCAATGACATCATATTTGCATTAAACACGTGTGCAATACAGTTGCCAACAAACAGAACAACGTTGTGTTTCAACTCATTACCCCATTTCATTAACCAATCAATAAAGATCAGGGCTGTCATACAAGCATTAAAGTTTGAGCAGTAGTCGACGGGTTATTTATTCACACCTTTAAAACACCAAGGATTCTTATTTTTTTTCCAATCACCAAAAGCCTTTCTTTGTTACCAGACTCTCATTTCAGGCAAATATTCAGTGTTAATTTTAGGCCATTCTTCTTCAATCCAAGTTTGTGCTGCTGAGACATCAGCATCATTTTGCTCACCATGAGTGCGTTTGTATATAACGTTATCACATTTTTTCCAACAATTAAACCACCTGTCTATTGCAACAAAATTGTCTTTTCAAACTTTCATAGCTTGCTCTTCTGCTTTCTGCCACATCACTGGTCTATTTACAAGAGCATCGTGTTCATGAACATTAGTAAACTAAAAAGTTTTAATGCTGATTTGACCTGGTCATCTTTTCCACTGCTCTTTCTTTTACAGTTCTGATTTGCTCCCCTCTCAATGTTAGCTCCATCTTTTTAAATTTTACACAAAAGAGGTTGGGAAATTTTTAATTGAATTGTTACATCACACTGCCCCATTTTTGGTAATTTATCAAAGCGTTTTAAAATGGCAACTTTTTCTTTAAGGGTTAGATCTTTATGTTTCTTATCCACTTCTTCCATTATTAAAGAGGGTTAACAAAAATTGAAATCTGTGGGAGCACCGGTTTTCATGAAAGATTGAAAACAACTCTACACCAATTACGGAAAAGAAATACAAGAGCGTAGGAGATCTTAATGACAACTTAGCCAAGCCTTATTGTACGGTGAACCTTCTTCAGGTCGCTCGATCTTGAGATGGTTAAGTTGATTTAAAGCGATAACAAAAAACGAAACACCGATTACAATAAACAATGTATTTTTATACGTTTGATCAGGACTTAGTAATTCTGATAACATTATCTGTGATCAAAATAAGCAGCATCCAGCTTGAAACTAATTTTATTTTTGACTTTAACAAACTTGAAATACTCTAAAATTCTTCGAGAATTTTTTATTGGTTGAATATTATTATAATTGTTGAAAAAAGTGAATTTTTATACCTTTCCCATAAAAAAAACGAATATTTCTTTTGGTCTTTAAAATGTTTTCACTATGAAAGGTACATAAAATTACATTATATTGTACAAATATGTATTTAATTAAAGTTTGTAACTGATTTGTTGCAAAACGTGTTATTTACAAATTGTTTGCCCACAAAACAATGAAAAGTTAACCATATTTAGCATTTTATATAAAACCAACTTAACTATGTATTTATTTTACTATTAATTATGATTGAATTCCACATGATCTAACAATTTAACTATATCGAGATGGGTCATGTCATCACATTTATTGACTTGCATTCAAAATTTTATTGAACTACTATTTTGTGAATCTATGTCAATAAGTTTGGTATCAAATTGTAGATTATAATTCAAGTTTTGGTATTACATGTTAGTTAATTTCTTAAT